CAGCCTGGCCCCGCCCTGACTGTTGTGGCCGTTTGGGGAGTGAACCAGCGGATGGAAGCTCGCTCTATCTCTCCTCTCCTCTCCTCTCCTCTCCTCTCCTCTCCTCTCCTCTCCTCTCCTCTCCTCTCCTCCCCTCCCCTCCCCTCCCCTCCCCTCCCCTCCCCTCCCCTCCCCTCCCCTCCTTCTCTGCAACTCTGCCTTTCAAATACATAAGTAAATCTTGTTTAAAAAGTGGAACAGGAGATGTATGGATGTGAGAATCGTGCGGGTGGCACATGGAGGGCTAGAGCCTGGGAAGTGTAGTAGTACTAAAAACAAGCACACATGGCTGGTTAGGAAGGTGAATCCAGAAAGCACATCTTCAGCTTGACGTCAATACAGTTGTAGAGGAGCTCTGCAGCCTGTGCTAGGATCACACACTGAAGTGGGTTTGGGAGATCGTGAATGAGGATGAATGTGGGGCTTGGGGCTGAGGGCTCAGCGGGAATGAGGAAGGAGGGAGCTGGGCGTATGTCAAGGAAGATTCCCCCTTTCCTGTGCAAAGCCGTAGAGCTCCTGGGAAAGGGACTTCTCCCTTGACAAGGACAAAAGGACCTGAGAGGTCTCCCAAGAGAGTAGCCCTGTTTGATTTTGTAGTTTGTTTCTGCAATCAGCTAGGAAACGAAGTCTTCAAATTAAACCTGGTTTCCAAGGAGACACAAGGGCAGGTGGACAGAACTGCACTGGTGGTTGCCTGGATCCCAACAAGGTAGTGGCTTCCCGCCGAGCAGGTGGTTCTTCCAGGAGCCCTGAGCCCTGGACCCCAGTGATGGGCACAACAGTGCCTTCCAGTAGCTGCCTCACCAGGGGTGAGTATGTGAGGCAGAGGGGAAGAGAGGGGGAGACAAACAGAGGCAGGCCACATCACTGACCCGGCTACTCCAATTTTCCCCAACCCTTAAGAAAGCAAACAAACGTTTTGACAGAAATATCCCCAGATGGGGTGAGAAGCTGCCCCAGGAATCTCTGGCAGTCCCCCCAGGAGCCCTTGTGTCCCTGCGGTAGCGTGCCCCTCCCCAGAGCCATATCCTGAAAGCCTAACCCTGGCCATGAAGGAGGGGCTGGGGCCTCTGGGAGGTGCTTAGATCTTGAGGGTGCGCTGTTGCAGTGGTATTGGTGCCTCCCTCCCTACACATCAAATCTGTCTTGCCTTGATCTGGGAAGGGCGGGAACTAAATTCCTGGTGTTTAGAAGCCATCCCATCTGTGGTGTTCTGTGGAGCCTGGATAGACAGGGCGGTTCCCAGGGAAAGTCTTTCCGGCTCGGTCTGTGGGTGTATGATTTCCCCACACAGGTGTTGCAGAGCCAGGTGAGCGTCCTCCGGGCTGCCTCCTGCTGTGTTTGGTCTGAGGAATGGATGCTGTTCTTGACAGACAATGAACTGCAAAGGCTGTGCCAACAGGAACCGTGAGCCAGGGGCCAGGGAACCAAGGTGATCCTGGTTCTGCTTTGGCTCCAGGGCAGGGGAGATCACATGGCCTGCAGATAAACCCCACCCTCACAGAGGCCCCATTATCCCACCTGCCCCAGGGGACGGTCTTTATCCACCAAGAGGCTAAGACCTTAGCCTCTGCTTTCTGAATCTTGGCACGAAAAGCAAACATCAAGATGACCCAGATGATTCTGGGTGAGAAGACGATACAGGCTCCACACCGCTCTAAGTGAGGGCAGAAAGCCTTTTCATGGTCATCTGGCACCTGTGCAGGCTTCCACACTCCAAGGCCACTTACACTAACCTCAGACAACTGCCGCCAATCAGAAAGAAAGAGTGCCTCCTGGCCTCACGCTTAGCTGCGTCCCATCAGAGGGGAAGGTCAAGTTCTGGTCTCTGCATGGGACCTTATCAGAGGACAATGTTAGCAACTAAAGAGCAGGAACTCTGGGCCCGTCCCAGCTCTGCCATCACCAGCTGACTCTATCTGGGTTTCTACTTCTGTATGTCAGCAGGAAGATAGTAAGGCCCACAGAGCCAGGTGCAGGGCGGCGTGAGGGTCAAAGCCAGCAGACCACGTGGAAGGAAGCTGCTGACTCCGCTTTCAAGGATAAGCATAGAAATGAGGTGTGAGTTTCTAGATGTCAGAGGCCAGGGTGCGTGGTGGCTCACTATTGCTGTGGCTACCATCACCCTTGTCCACACCTGGTTATTTAATGCTTTCAGTTGCCCTGTGAGGAGGGAGTGGAAGGGCAAATAATGCATACTGACCTCCATTTCATGGGGGAAAGATGCAGAGAGAGATGAAACATACTGTCCATGATGCCTGGCTGGCTTGTGGGACAAGGCTTTCTGGTCAATCCAGTCCAAGAGAGCTGAGCTGCCACATCTTCAACACAGGAAGGTGCTACTCCAGTCTGGGGCTTTCTATGGATAAATTATCAGGAAAAGGGGCTGACGCTGTGGTGTGGTGTGTACGGCCTGCAGTGCCGACATCCCATACAGACACCAGTTCAAGTCCTGGCTGCTCCACTTCTGATCCAGCTCCCTGTAATGGCCTGGGAAAGCAGTGGAAGATGACCCAAGTGCATGGGCCCCTGCACCCATATGAGAGACCTGGAAGAAGCTCCTGGCTTCTAGGTCCTGGCTTCCACCTGGCCCATCCCTGGCTGTTGCGGCCATTTGGGGAATGAACCAGCAGATGGAAGATATCTCTTTCCCACTGTCTCTGTTATTGACTTTCAAATAAATAAATAAATAAATATTTTTTAAAAATTATAAAGCGAGGGAGAGGTAGACATATAGATCAGGAGCCCAAAAAGTCATATCAGCTAAGAATGGGTATGAGGGTTTCTGCCATGATGAAAATGTTCTAAAACTAGATTACAGCGATGGTTCCACTGAACGGATATTAAAAATGTACTTTTTAAGTTTTCATTTATTTATCATTTATTTGAAAGGCAAAGAGCTAGAGACAGAGAGAGAGAGTCCACAATGGCTGAGGCTGGACCAGGCCAATGCCAGGAACCAGGAACTCCATCAAGGATTCCCTTGTGGGTGGCAGGGACCCAAGTAACTGGCCATCAACTGCTGCTTCCCAGGGCACACATCAGCAGGAAGCTGGAACCCCAGGCAGAGCTAAGACTCCAACTCAGGCACTTCAGTGTGGGCTATAAGCAAGTAAAGTGGCGTATTAAACACTGTGCCCTATGCCAGTCCCGATTTGTGTACTTTGAACTGCTGGATTTTATAGTATGTAAATTATATCTCAACAAAGATGCTTTAAAAATAGCAAATTAATTTTTTAAAAAACAATAAAGACTAAATAAACCACTGTAGTCCTGGATTCATATATGGGTGTTAAAACTTTAAAGGGGGCCCGGCGCTGTGGCACAGTGGGTTAACTCCCTGGCCTTAAGCACCAGCATCCCATATGGGTGTTGGGTTCTAGTCCTGGCTGCTCCACTTCCAATCCAGCTCTCTGCTATGGCCTGTGAAAGCAGTGGAAGATGGCCCAAGTCCTTGGGCCCCTGCACCCATGTGGGAGACCCGGAAGAAGCTCCTGGCTCCTGGCTTTGGATCGGCGCAGCTCCAGCCATTACAACCATCTGGGGAGTGAACCATCAGATGGAAGACCTCTCTCTCTGTCTCTACCTCTCTCTGTAACTCCGTCTTTCAAACAGATAAAATAAATCTTTAAAAAAAACTCTAAAGGAAAGTATGAAACTCAGAATTCCTTTAGGGGGAAGAATGGGTTTGTCACTGGAATGGGGCACCTGAAGGAGCTCAGCGGGTGGAGAGCAGATTTTATCGACTAGAACGGTCACTTATTATAGCCCTTACAAGGTGCTGATCTTGCAATAACTCATTAAGCTGCACATGGGTGTGGTTAGTGCAGCCTTATGTACTTGTTTTATTAAAATACAATTTTTATTTATTTTTTATTTTTATTTTTTGACAGGCAGAGTGGACAGTGAGAGAGAGAGACAGAGAGAAAGGTCTTCCTTTTGCCGTTGGTTCACCCTCCTGCGGCTGGTGCATCACGCTGATCAGAAGCCAGGAGCCAGGTGCTTCTCCTGGTCTCCCATGCAGGTGCAGGGCCCAAGGATTTGGGCCATCCTTCACTGCACTCCCGGGCCACAGCAGAGAGCTGGCCTGGAAGAGGGGCAACTGGAATAGAATCCGGCACCCCGACCGGAACTAGAACCCGGTATGCCCGTGCCACTAGGTGGAGGATTAGCCTATTGAGCCACGGCACCGGCCACAATTTTTATTTATAAAAGGGGATATTGAGTATGAAATGATACCCTTAGCCAGATAGCCCATGAGGTGGCCAGTGTGAACCTGGCCTCCTGTTATTCAGGATTCGAATCCTGTGTAATCCCCTCCCCTTGAATGTGGGTGGGACCTCGGACTTGGTTTTAACCAACACGATAAAGCCAGAGCAATGCAATGTATGTGATTATGTGTGCATTTGATTATGTTGTGTAAGATTTTGTGTCATCCTGCTAGAACACTCTCTCGTTGGCTCGAGGAAGCAAGCAGACGTGTTGCAAAGGCCCATGGGGCAAGGAGCCGAGAGTGGCCTGCAGCCAAGAGCCAGGAAGAAACGGAGGCCCCCTGTGCAACAACCCACAGGAACTGAAGAACGCTGCACCGACCATGGCAGTGGGGAAGCAGACCCTTCCCAGGCTAGCCTTGATGCCACCGCGGTCTCAGCCGATGCGCTCCCTGCAATTTCTGAGACTCTGATGCAGAAGCCTCTGCTCGGCTCTGCCCTGGTCCTGGGGTCACCTAACTGAACTATCAGTTAGTTCAGTTAGTTCAGAACTATCTGATAGGTTCACAGTTCTGAACCGATCAGAACTGTGAGGTGATCAATGTGCAGGGTTTCACATCACTAAATTTCAGGTACCATCACTGCCCAACAACTGGTAAGTAGCACATCCCCCTTATGTCTGGGGTGTCCCTAAGACCACCCTCACGTTCCACAGTTGACTAGAAGGAGGCACAGACCCCAGCCGAGCTGTTAAACTCATGCTTAGTTTATTATAGTGAACAGCCACAGAATAAAATCAGCAATGGAAGAAGGTGCTGAGAGTAGGCTTTAGAAGAACTAGCAACTGTCCTGTCCAAGTGGCATCACAGGACAGCGCTTACTTCTCCAGGGATGCGTGGTGACATGCACGGAGCACTGTCAGCCAGAGAGGCAAGGCCATGCCTGGTGTCCAGGGCTTCAAGCGGGGTCCACCACGTAGGCGTGTCGTACCACCCACTCGGCTGACTGAGGTCAGGCTGATACAGCACGGCCCAGGGCCCTCAGGTGAACAGACTCTTTCAGGCAGGACACTCCCAGGCCTGCAGGTTGTCCCCCAGGAGTCAGCGGGGACAAATCTCTCACTGGAACACCAGGGTTCAAGCACCCCCAACCCTGCTTATTTAATCTTGTACCACACAAAAAGATTAAGTTCAAAAGTGGGAAATTTTTTCCATTTTATTTGAAAGAGAGATTTTCTATCCACGGTTCACTACCCAGATTCCTGCAACAGCCAGGGCTGGGCCACACAGAAGCCAGTGGCAGGGATTCAACCACTTAACCATCACCTGCTGCCTCCCAGGGTGTGCATTAGCAGGAAGTTGTATCTGAGGTGGAGCCGGGACTTGAGCCAGGCACTTCGGTAAGGGATGCAAGTATCCCAAGCCCCATCTTAACAACTGTGCCAAATGCCTGCCCCCCCCCAATACGATTCTTTCTTAAAGCTGATTTATTTATTTATTTTCATTTATTTTATGACAAAGGGGCAGAGGGGAGAGAGAAAGGAGAGATTTTCTATTGGCTGGCTTACTACCCAAATGCCCATAGCATCCAGGGCTAGGCTAGATGGAATCCAGGAGCCAGAAACTCCATCCAGGTCTCCCACATGGGTGGCGGGGATCCAAGTACTTGAGCCATCATTTGCTGTTTCCAGGGTTTGCATCAGCAGGGAGCTGGATTGGATACATGTGGGCATTCCAAGTGGCAGCCTAACCCACTGCACCACAACGACCACCCTGAACGTGGGATTCTTAAGCCAAGTTTCCACCCTGCTTGAAGGCAAGAAGACCAGAAAACCACCAAGGGACGTTTAGAACTTCCCCTGCTCGATGGTTAGGGAATTCCCAGGACATAAGCCATACAGCCAGAAGGCAGGGTGCAGGGGAGAAGACGCGGAGACCTCACACTCATACAGAAGCGTCTCCTCACTGGCCACTGAATAGAAGGCGAGCTTCCCCTCCTCGAGGTCTAACCAGACGCCCACCACCCCAGGTCTGTCCGAGTCCAGAAGAGTTTGCTTGCCCAAGCTCCACGCAGCCAGCGGGCCGGTCCCCTTCCACTCTACACACCATGAGTCCGTGGTCCTTCCCAGGATCTGGTCACGGCTCATCCCCCAGGAAGCCACTCCAACTGCCCAGTGGCTGCAAGACTTAGTGTCCACCTCCCAGTACTGCCGCCCGGAAGAGAGGGCCTGGGAGCAAAAGACCTGGCTGATGGAAAACCTCTCGCGACTCCAGGGGTAGGACTGTGGGTGGTGAGACACTGTCACCGTCCGCTGGTCCTCAGACACCCACAGGCTGTGGGAGATGCTCCTCAGGTCAAAGGTCGGGCTGATGGCCCCTGGAAGGAAGAAAACAAGAGCACGGCCATCACCTTTTGATCATCCATGTGAACGGATCCTCAAGTAGCAAAAGGCAGCATCAGATCATTTGATGGGATTGTGTTTTAATCAAAATTTAATAAAAAATGGTATAGCAACTTGCAGTTTTGTATGCAAACCCTTGCTGTTGTTTTATCAACAATATCCCTTCCCCATTTTTATTTCTTCCTGCTCATTAGCCATGTTCCAGGAAGCACTTGCTGAATCCCACCAAGCGAAATGCCACCTCTTGCTTTTCTTAACACACCCTGTGTTCTTCGTGTTCTCCCTTGCTACCATCCTCTACCTGTGTGATACAGTGACGCATGACTATGGCTATTTCCATCTTGCCAGTTAAGCCTGAGCTTCCTGATGAAGGCCCTGCTCTTACTCATTCTGTATATTTCATGCTGCTTCCTGTGGAATGCGTAAATCATTGCTAACACTTAGCCCTTCTGTGGCATCATACCCCAGCTGCTGTACCACTTGCACTCATTTCACCTTGTGGCAATCCCACAAGAGCAGTACTATCAGTATGTCCATTTTATAGATGAAGGAATTTGAGCTTTAAGAGGTTAACCAACTTGTCCAAGATCATGGCTGCTGGGACTCAAACCCAAGCAGTCCGCTCTGGCTCCAGGATCCACGCTTTTAAGGTCTTTCCCAGACCATGTCAGCAGAGTACCTAAGAGCTGGGGGAACAGGCTGGTGAGTATAATAAGTGACCCTAGAATACATGCCCAAAGGTTGCCTGGCCTGTGAGTGCTCCTGGGCCTGGGTGAGTCTGGAATTTGGGCATCTCAACCCACCTGGCTATCGTTGGCAGCTTCCCACATGGGGTTCAGGAAGCCAAGGAGCGTCCAGCAGCAGAGAGATGGACACAGCTGGCCAACCCCCTTGCTTTGCGTAGTCCACATACTCACATTGAGCAAACCGAGAGGCCCTCTTGGGTGCGGGGCAGTTCTGGTTAGGCAGGGGGCACGCAGAGGTAGACGGAGCTTCTGGGACTTCCACTAAGGAACCAAGACAATTGAGAAGGGAAGTTGCAACAAGAAGAGTCAAGAAAACTGAGGTGCACAAATATGGTGACGCGGGCGCAGGCCTGTCCCCCTCATCGCCAGCACGTTTCTGGGTGTGAGGGCGTGGTCAGGCAGAACATCCAGCCCCCTGTTCTCACTGTGGACGTTTCTACTGTCCACTTCCCCATCTAAGCCCTCAGCTCCCTTCTTGCAGGAATCATGTTTATGTCCATATTTTAACCATTCAAGCCTCATGCTAGCCTTACGTAGAAAGGGTTTGATGCATCTTTGTCAAAGGAATTGACTGATAACAGTCCCAGGGGATCATGGCACCCCAACACCTAGAATATCCAAAATCCCTATGCCAATGCTTTACACTCATTATACATGCCAGGTAACATGGGTTGCTGTGAGCGTCGTCTCAACAGCTGCCACCTCTAATTCCCTCTTGATGCACTAAAGTTTAATGACTATTTTTTTCTATATATTTGAGAAGCAGAGACAGAGAGGTCCCATCTGCTGATTCACTACCCAAATGTCCACAACAGCTGAGGCTGGGCCAGGGCAGGAGCCAGGAGTGGGGAATTCAATCCAGGTCTCCCATATGGGTGGCAGGGACCCAAGACCTTGAGCCATCACCCCTGCCTCATAGAGTCTACATCAGCAGGAAGCTGGAGTCAGGAGCGGGAGCTGGGACTGAAACCCAGACACCTTGATGTGGGACACGGGTGTCCTAACCACTAGGTTAGCCTGCCACTGAAGTTAACTATCAACCTGAAGCACCACATGGGTAATTACCACTCCAGCTGGGAGCAGAGAAAGTGAGGGAAGCCCTAGAGTGTAGACACTGAGGGTAAAGTCTTCCCCTTTTGTAGCTTGAAGTGGCAGTGGCATAAAGTAAATCCAACATTCATATTGAAGAGATGAAAAACCCTGTCCAAGTGTGCACTGTGGCAGCCTGGGCATGACAGCAAGAGAGCAGTGCTTCTTCCTTCCTTCCTTTCTTTAAGACCTACTTATTTGAAAGGCAGAGTTACAGAGAGAGAGAGAGAGAGAATCTTCCATCCGCTGGTTAACTCCCCAAAGGGACGCAGTGGACAGAGCTGGGCTGATCTGAAGCCAGGATCCAGGAGCTTCATCCCATGTGGCTGCAGGGACCCAAGCACTTGGGTCATCTTTCGCTGCTTTCCCAGGCACATTGGCAGGAAGCTGGATCGGAAGTGGAGCAGCCAGGACTGAAACTGGAGCCCATATGGGATGCTGGCGCCGCAGGTGGCTGCTTAACCTGCTACACCATAACACCGGCCCCAAGAGAGCTGTTCAAGAGGCCACTCTCAAGATTCAGGAGGGTACTACAGCAACCTAAGTGTACAACACCAGATAGAAGGATAAACTGAATGTGGTGGCATATATAATGGAGTATCACTCAGCCTTAAAGAGGAAACATTCTGGGGTGGGTATTTGGCCTACTAGTTAAGGTGCTGGTTGGTTCTCCTTCATCCCCCATTGGAATACCTGAGGTTAAGCCCTGGCTGTGCTCCTGATTCCAGCTTCCTGCTAATATCAACCCTGACAGGCAGCAGTGAAGGCTCCCTGCCACCCATGTGGCAGGATTGAGTGCCTGGCTCCTGACTTTGACTTGTCTCAGCTATAACGACTGTGGGCATTTGGGGAGTGACCGGACAATAGGAACTCTTTGAGTTTGTCTGCTTCTCCCTCTCTGTTTCGCAGATAAAAAATGCTCCTATATTAAAAAAAAAAAAAAAGGAATTCAGATAAATGAATACGTTTTTAAAAAAGGAATTCTGCCACATGGTGCCACATGGATGGATCTAAACGATATTACACCAATCACAAAGAGACAATTATTGTAGGAGTCCACTCATGCCAGGAGTGATCAAATTCACAGAGAATCCAAGAGGAAGAGTGGTTGCCAAGTGCTGGGAGGGGAAGGGCCAATTAAGTCATTTAGTGGGTACAGAGCTACAGTTTTGCAAGACGAAGAAACTCTGGGGATTAGCTGTACAACCATGGAGACATACTTAATACTGCTTTTGGGGGCAGGTATTTGGCACAGTGATTAAGTTTCTGTCACTTCGCTTTTTTTTTAGATTTCTTTTTATGTATTTGAAAGGCAATTAGGCCGGCGCCGCGGCTCACCAGGCTAATCCTCCGCCTTGCGGCGCCGGCACACCGGGTTCTAGTCCCGGTCGGGGCACCGAATTCTGTCCCGGTTGCCCCTCTTCCAGGCCAGCTCTCTGCTGTGGCCAGGGAGTGCAGTGGAGGATGGCCCAGGTGCTTGGGCCCTGCACCCCATGGGAGACCAGGATAAGTACCTGGCTCCTGCCATCGGATCAGCGCGGTGCGCCAGCCGCAGCGCGCCAACCGTGGCGGCCATTGGAGGGTAAACCAACGGCAAAAGGAAGACCTTTCTCTCTGTCTCTCTCTCTCACTGTCCACTCTGCCTGTCAAAAAAAAAAAAAAAAAAAAGAAAAGAAAAAAAAGAAAGGCAATTAAACACACACACACACACACACACACACAGAAAGAGACAGGTCTTCCATCCACTGGTTCACTCCCCAAATGACTGCAACAGTCAGAGCTGGGCTGATCCAAAGCCAGGAACCAAGAGCACATGTGTGCAAAGGCCCAAGTGCTTGGGCCATGTTTCACTGTTTTCCCAGACTATTAGCAGGGAATTGGATCAGAAGTGGAGCAGGGGCTGGCACTGCGGCATAGCAGATAGAGCCATTTCCTGTAGTGCCAGCATCCATATGGGCGCTGGTTCAAGTCCCAGCTGCTCCACTTCCAATCCAGCTCTCTGCTATGGCCTGGGAAAGCAGTATTTAGGGCCTGTGATACATCACACTCCCAATATATGCAAAAACACATCCAGAGGCCGGTGTTGTGGCACTGTGGGTTAAGCTGCTGCTTGCAACACAGGCATCCCATATTGGAGTGCCACCTACATTCTTAGCTGCTCTACTTCTGATTCAGCTTCCTCATAAAGCACCTATGTGGGAGACCCAGACAGAGCTCCTCTCACTGGCCTGGCCCAGCCCCATCTGTGTGGCCAGTTGAGGAGCGAACCAGCAGATGTAAAATATCTTCCTCACTCTATCACTCTGCCTTTAAAATAAATAAAAATAACTGGTTCTAGTCTTAGTTGCTTCTTTTCTGACCCAGCTCTCTGCTATGGCCTGGGAAAGGAATAGAAGATAGTCCAAGTCCTTGGGCCCCTGCACCCATGTGGGAGACCCGGAAGAAGCTCCTGGCTCCTGGCTTCAGATAGGCTCAGCTCCGGGAGAGGTGGCTATTTGGGGAGTGAACCAGCAGATAGATGGAAGACCTCTCTCTCTGTCTCTCCTTCTCACTATCTGTAACTCTACTTCTCAAATAAATAAATCTTTTTTTTTTTTTTTTGACAGGCAGAGTGGACAGTGAGAGAGAGAGAGACAGAGAGAAAGGTCTTCCTTTTGCCGTTGGTTCACCCTCCAATGGCCGCCGTGGCCAGCGCTGCAGCCGGTGCACCGCGCTGATCCGAAGGCAGGAGCCAGGTACTTATCCTGGTCTCCCATGGGGTGCAGGGCCCAAGTACTTGGGCCATCCTCCACTGCACTCCCTGGCCACAGCAGAGAGCTAGCCTGGAAGAGGGGCAACCGGGACAGAATCCGGCGCCCCAACTGGGACTAGAACCCGGTGTGCCGGCGCTGCAAGGCGGAGGATTAGCCTAGTGAGCCGTGGCGCCGGCTTCAAATAAATAAATCTTTAAAATAAAAATAAATCTTAAAAAGAAATAAAAGACAGACATATCCAGCCACAAAGCATCCCAGCCGACTCCTCCCAGATTTACAATGCCACGATGGTGACACAGTGGCCTCTGGGTTCTCGGGCTTAAAGCAAAAACCCTGGCTGGCGCCGCGGCTCAAGAGGCTAATCCTCCACCTAGTGGCGCTGGCACACGGGTTCTAGTCCCGGTCGGGCGCCGGATTCTTTCCCAGTTGCCCCTCTTCCAGGCCAGCTCTCTGCTGGGGCCCGGGAGTGCAGTGGAGGATGGCCCAGGTGCTTGGGCCCTGCACCCCATGGGAGACCAGAAGAAGCACCTGGCTCCTGCCTTCGGATCAGCGCGCCGGCCGCGGCGGCCATTGGAGGGTGAACCAACGGCAAAGGAAGACCTTTCTCTCTGTCTCTCTCTCTCACTGTCCACTCTGCCTGTCAAAAAACAAACAAACAAACAAACAAAAACAAAAAACCCTTATGCACTTTGGCACTTTCCCCACCTTGCACCTGTAACCCTCCCCCACTGAGTAAAACCCACTCACCTCGTGTCTGCTCTTCAGGAGCCTCTTTCCACTTGAAGCTTTCTCGTAATTTCTCCTGAATTTCTCCCAGGCTGCAAAGAATGTCTCCCATTTTCCCTTCAGATGCACTGGAAGTCACGTGGGTTGGAGCAGCCAAGGAAAGGTCTACCCCAGAAGAAAAAGCCTATTGATGAATCATTTAAAAAGGAACACATGAAAGCCCGCTACGGAACCCATCAAATGTTCTATTCACATTCTGCTGTTGTCTGCAATTTTCCATCAAACTCCTGGCAAGCCTTTAAAAGCAAAACAAGGCCCTCAACAGGCATGCCCCGAAACAACCTGGGAGCTGTCACACCAAGTCCAGCAAAAACACTGCTGGGGGTGAGGCGACTGAAGGATTTCTTTTTTTTTTTTCTTTTTCTTTTTTTTTTTTTTTCTTTTTGACAGGCAGAGTGGACAGTGAGAGAGAGAGACAGAAAGGTCTTCCTTTGCCGTTGGTTCACCCTCCAATGGCCGCCGCGGCCGGCACGCTGCGGCCAGTGCATCGCGCTGATCAGAAGCCAGGAGCCAGGTGCTTCTCCTGGTCTCCCATGGGGTGCAGGGCCCAAGGACTTGGGCCATCCTCCACTGCACTCCCTGGCCAAAGCAGAGAGCTGGCCTGGAAGAGGGGCAACCGGGACAGAATCCGGCGCCCCGACCGGGCCTAGAACCCGGTGTGCCGGCGCTGCAAGGCGGAGGATTAGCCTAGTGAGCAGCGGCGCCGGCCCACCCCCTGAGTTTTTCTAACCTCGGTCCTGTTATCCTCCATCTGCTCCCCAGCTTCAGCGCCTGACTTTCCCTCCCAACTTCGCATGGCCCGCTCTCTGTTGTCTTCACTGAACAGGACAGTAGTCAGCAGGGAGCCGACTGAGTCCTCTCCACGAGCCAGGTACTGACTGAGTACTCCTTGTCCAAAATGCCTGGGACCCGAAGTGCTTCCAGTTCTGCTTATGGTTGTTGCTTTGTTTGGATTTGACTTGGAATATCTGTTTCACACCCACCTTGCACACATAGCCTGAAGATACCTTTACGCAGTCTTCAGCATGTGTGCATTTAGACTTCCACCGAAGGAGCTTAGGGTGGAATTTTCCACTTGTGGCAGTGGTCATGCTGGTGCTCAACAAGGTTTGGATTTTGGATTTCGGGCTTTCAGATTAGAGATGCTCAACCTGTACTGCTCCCCTCTGAGCTGCATAACAGCCTCACAACGTTGGTTCATTATCCCCATCTTCCAAAGCACTTGGAGTTCATGGAGATCAGCGACACGGTCATGGTGAATCACATCAGCCTTCATTTCCACAATGCTCAAGCGCTTTTTAATACAAGATCTCTGTTTTTATATTTCATTTTTTAAAAAGATTTATTTCTTTATTTGAAAGGCAGAGTTACAGAGAGAGAGGCCTTCCATTTGCTAGTTCACTCCTCAAAGGGCTGCAAAGGCCAGGTCTGGGCCAGGCTGAAGCCAGAAGCCAGGAACTCCTTACAGGCCTCCCGCATGGGTGGCAGGGAAGGGACCCAAGCACTTGAACCATCTTCCTCCGCCCTCCCATCCATGTCAGCAGAAGGCTGGATTGGAAGCAGGGTATCCAGGGCCTGGAACCGGCACTTAGATATTGGGATGCCAGTATCACGAGCGGAGGCTTAAACCACTGCACCACAACAGGGGCTCCAAAACAAGTTCTTTTTTAACCCTCATGATACAACACTGAGGCAGTCGGCCATGAATTTTCATTCCTATATTTCAGATAGGAACCAGAGACTCAGAAAAATGAGAAAACTTACTCCAGATCGCAACACTAGTGGGTGGCAGTGTCAGGTCTGAAAATCTGATCTTCACGCTTTGGATCCCAACACATCGCAATCCTGAAGACCCACTGAGTGGATATTTACTAAGCACCTAATGTGTGCCAATTGCTAGGGCCTGGAGATCCAGCAGAAAACAAAAGAACAAGAGCTTCAAAGTCTCTGGCATTAGAAGCCTGGAGTTCAGCACAAGAGAAGGGGGCAGATGTTAATAAGGTAATAAGATCATTACAAAATTGCAACCAGTAACTGCTGCAAATGAAAGGTACCTGGATCCTAGGAGTCTCTGAAAGGAGATTTAAGGAGCTAGGGCTGTGTAGCAGGTAAAACTGCCAAGTGTGGCACTGGCATTCCATATGGGCACCAGTTCATAGCCCCGGCTGCTCCACTTCTGATCCAGCTCCCTGCTATTCTGCCTGGGAAAGCAATGAATCATGGGCCAAGTGCTTGGACCCCTGCACCCATGTGGGAGATCCAGAAGAAGCTCCTGGCTCCTGGCTTCAGATTGGCCCATCTCTGGCCATTGAGACCATTTGGGGAATGAACCAGTGGATGGAAGATCTCTTTCAAATAAATAAATAATCTTTTTTAAATGGAGGGAGGGGCTTGATTTGCTCAAGGAAATCAGTGAAGACTTGTCTCTGAGGAAGTAATGCTCTAACTAGAAGCTGAAGGAGAAGCAGGCACCGCCTAGGTGAAGGGGTGAAGGAGGAGTGCTCCCTGAAGGGGGCCCCACAGTGGGAGGAAGCAACACCCACTAGAGAGACTGATGCAGCCAGTGTGGCTGGAGCGCAGAGCCAGGAGGTGGGGTGACCACAGGAGAGAGGCAGCAGGGATGGGAGCCTACGGACCCTTGTTAGTCCTGGGAGGGTCAGGCACCACGGGAGTATTCTAAACAGATGAGTTACACAATCAAGTTTGTTTTAGGGAAAGTCAGTCTGAGGACAGCCAAGAGAACAGGATAGAGGGGGCAGGGTGAGACAGCAATCAGGCAAGAAATTAGCATAGGCTTAGAGTAGAGAAGTCTCCAAGGAGCTAGAGAGGAGTAAAAGGATTTGAGAGATATTTAGGCAGGCCTTGGAGTTGGGACACACTGCCTATGGGGGTGATGGAGGAGACCACTCGACTCCCTTGGAAGGACAATAGGGCCAGAGCTGAGATGGGAAATCCCAGAGGGGGAACGGTTTGGGTTTGGGATTCATTTAAGGGCAATGTGCCTCGGGAGATATCCAAGCGGAAAAGATAAGGATCCAAGTGGAAGAGATAAGGAAAAACCAGCCTAGGGCTCAAAGCAGGTTCTAGGCAAGCTCTGGGCACAGGGAGGTGATAATTAAAGCCAGGGGAGTCAGGAAGAGCACTTGGAGGAAACGGGGAATAGAAAGGGACCAGTAACTCTGCCTTGAGGAATTCTAGCATTCACTTGCAGCGCAGAGGGGAGAGAGGCTGTAAAACAGACTGAGAACCAATGGCTGGGGGGGGGAGGGGTGCGGGGAGAGGGGTGGGAGCAGAGGTCAGGAGTTCCAGAAACCCAGAGACGGAAGGAGCAGCCAGCTGCATCACAGCTGCATGCAGATAAGGACGAGAAAGTCTGCAGGTTTACGCAGAGGTCACAGTGATCTCAGGGAGGGCGGTGACAGGGTGGGACCACCTTCCCAACCCTACCTCTAGAATTCCAACTCTCCAATCACACAGGAGTGGCAGTCAGGGGAGGGTGAGGGAGGGGACTCCAGGTGGGAGTTGGCCGTAGCCCCGCCCACCCTCCTCCAGTCCTCTCCCAGCGGAGCCTACCGCGCCCTCCGCACTTAGTCCCCCGTCCGGTCCAGGTTCCAGGGGACGTCTCTGACTCTGGAGGCTCCTGACGATGTCCACCAGCTGCTGCACCAGTCCCGTCAGCTCCTCACCCACTTCCGTAAGGCTCTTTGGTATCACCACCTGTAAAAGAGCAAAAGCAAGGTCCCGGATGGAGCCATAACCATCTGGTACAGCCGTAAACACACATGTGGGTCAGTGGTGCACAGTGGAGACCCCACATAACAGCCCTCACACACAAGGAGTCTTCAACAAGTTCACAGAAAATGCACATTATTTTAAAATTAGGCATACATTTCTATTCTTTTTGTCCCCTAAAAAACTTCCCGTGAATTAAAAAAAATTTTTTTGATTTATTGTATTTAGTTAAGAAGAGAGCGAGAGGGGCCAGTGCTGTGGCATAGTAGGCTAAGCCTCTGCCTGCAGCAACAGTTCGAGTCCCAGCTGCTCCTCCTCCAATCCAGCTCTGTGTTGTGGCCTGGGAAAGCAGTAGAAGATGGCTCAAGTGCTTGGGCCCCTGCACCCATGTGGGAGACCAGAAGCTCCTGGCTCCTGGTTTCAATTCGGCCCAGCTCTGGCTGTTGTGGCCATTTGGGGAGTGAACCAGCAGATGGGAGACCTCTCTCTCTCTCTGCCTCTGACTCTTAAATAAATCTTAGAGAGAAAAAACACTCTCATCTACCACATCACTCTTTAAGTGCCCCACACCAGACCAAAACAGAGCAGAGTGAAGCCAGGATTGAAGCCCAGGCTTGATTTGAATGGCAAGTGGATGTCCCAAGTAGGGTCTTGGCTGCTAGGCCAAACACCAGCCCCTCCCCAAACTATCTAAAGTACACTCCTATATGTACAAATGACTTTTTACAATGGTGCCAAGACCATTGATGAAAAAAACACGGTTTTTTCAACAAATAGTACTGGGAAAACTGGATATCATTACATAAGAGAATGAACTTGGTCCCTTCAGTGACAGCATGGACAAAAATTAAATAAAAAAGGAGCAAAGACCTAACTGTAAGAAATAAGATACAACAACACTTAGAATTAAAGAAGAACAAGAAATAAAACATACCCAAATTAGAAAGGAAGAATTAAAACCATCCCTGTTTGCATGACCTAATTCCATAAATAGAATATCCTAAAGCCACAAAAAATGATGGCTTAGCAAAGTTGCAGGGTACAAGATCAACACACAAAAGCAGTTGTGTTTTATACACCTGTAATGAACAATGCAAAAAGGAAACAAAGAAAGCAGTCCCATTTACACAGCATCTAAAAAATGAAATACCACAGGGCCAGCCATGGGGGCTGCAGGTTAAAGCAGCTTCCTGCAACACGGGCATTCCACATAAGCACTAGCTCCAGTCCCAGCGCTCCATTTTTTTTTTTTTAAGATTTATTTTAGGGCCGGCACCGCGGCTCACTAGGCTAATCCTCCGCCTTGCAGCGCCGGCACACCGGGTTCTAGTCCTGGTCGGGGCGCCGGATTCTGTCCCGGTTGCCCCTCTTCCAGGCCAGCTCTCTGCTGTGGCCAGGGAGTGCAGTGGAGGATGGCCCAAGTACTTGGGCCCTTCACCCGCATGGGAGACTAGGAAAAGCACCTGGCTCCTGGCTTCTGATCAGCGCGATGTGCCAGCCGCAACGCGCCGGCCATTAGAGGGTAAACCAACGGCAAAGGAAGACCTTTCTCTCTGTCTCTCTCTCTCACTGTCCACTCTGTCAAAAATTTAAAAACAAAACAAAACAAAAAAAGATTTATTTTAGGGGGCCAGCGCCATGGCTCACTTGGTTAATCCTCCGCCTGCGGGCTGGTATCCCATATGGGCACTGGGTTCTAGTCCCGATTGCTCCTCTTCCAGATTAGCTCTCTGCTGTGGCCCAGGAAGGCAGTGGAGGATGGCCCAAGTGCTTGGGCCCCTGCACCCACATGGGAGACCAGGAGGGGGCACCTTGCTCCTGGCTTTGGATCGGCACAGCGCCGGCCATAACAGTCATTTTGGAGGTGAACCAATGGAAGGAAGACCTTTCTCTCTCTCTCTCTCTCTCTCTCTCTCTCTCTCTCTCACTGTCTACAACACTACCTGTCAAATAAAAAAAAAAGATTTATTTCATTTATTTAAAGGACAGAGTTACAGCGAAAGGTAGAGACATAGAGAGAGAGAGTCCAATTTCCATCTGCTGTTTCACTCCCCCAATTTGCAGCAACAGCCAGAGCTGAGCTGATCCAAAGCCAGGAGCTTCTTCCGGGTCTCCCACATGGATGCAGGGGCCCAAGGACTTGGGCTGTCTTCTACTGCTTTCCCAGGTCACAGCAGAGAGCTGGATCTGAAGTGAAGCAGCCACGATTCAAACTGCCACCCCTACGGAATGCTGGCACAGCAAGCCAGGGGTTTAACCCACTGCGCCACAGTGCTGGCCCCTGCTCCATTTCTGATCCAGCTCCCAGTTAATGCGCCTGAGAAAGCAGCAGAAGATGGTTCAAGTGCTTGGGCCCCTGCCACCCATGTGGGAGATGCAGATAGAATTCCAGGATCCTGGCTTCCACCTTCCCCAGCCTTAGCTGTTGTGGCCTCTTGGCATGGGGAGGAGTGAGGGAACTCAGGGTGGAAGATCTCTCTTTCTCTAACTCTGCCTTTCAAATAAGTAAATAAATCTTTAAAAAAGAATGAAACATCTGGGGCCGGCGCCGTGGCTCACTTGGTTAATCCTCCGCCTGCGGCGCTGGCATCCCATATGGGTGCCGGGTTCTAGTCCTGGTTGCTCCTCTTTCAGTCCAGCTCTCTTCTGTGGCCCGGGAGGGCAGTGGAGGATGGCCCAAGTGCTTGGGCCCCTGCACCCACATGGGAGACCAGGAGGAAGCACCTGGCTCCTGGCTTTGGATTGGCATAGCTCCAGCCGTAGTGGCCATTTTGGGGGTGAGCCAACGGAAGGAAGACCTTTCTTTCTGTCTCTCTCTCACTGTCTAATTCTATCTGTCAAAAAAAAAAAAAAAAAAAAGAATAAAACATCTAAGAAAATTTAAACAAAGAGGTGAAAGGCTTATACAGTGAAAACTATAAAACATCACTGAAGTAGAGAATATTTTGGAAAGACATGCTATATTTTGGGGAAAGAAGACTTAACATTGTTAAATGTCAATGCTACCCCTAAGCAATCTACAGATTCAGCACAATTGCTATAAACAGTACAACACCCTTTTTTTGTGCAAGTGGAAACCTAATTCATATGGAATTGCAAGGGGCCTTGAACAGCCAAAACAATCTTGAAACAGAACAATGTCAAACTTGCAATTTCCAATTCAAAATTTACTACAAAGCTATGGGAATCAAAACAATGGGGTACTGGCATAAGGACAGACACATAGGCAAATGGAGTACAACTGAGACCAGAAATAAACCAAAACATCTATTATCAATAGATTCTTACAGAGATGACAACTCCACTCACTGGAGAACAGTCTCTTCAATAAATGGGGCCAGGACAACTAGACATCACATTTATTTAATTGATGCGACAGAGAGGAAGGAAGGATGAGATGGGGAGAGAGAGAGATATCTTCTATCTGCTGGTTTATTCCCCAAATGTCCCCCAAGAACCAGGCTGGGCCACGCTGAAGCCAAGAGCCAGGAGCTTCTTCTGGTTCTCCCATGTGGGTACAGGGGCCCAAGCACCTGGGCCATCCTCCGCTGCTTCCCCTGGCCATCAGCAGGGAGCTGGATTGGAAGTAGAGCAGCGGGGACTCAACAGTGATGCCAGCACTGCAGGCAATGGTAACTTGCTATGTCACAGGTATTAATCACAAAAACTGATGGACGGAATTTTTAAAATGTGATCTTATACGTGTTACAACATGAGTGCCCCTAGAAAACATTTTGATGAGAGAAGCCAGCCATCAAGGGACAGAGAATGCATTCTAGTTGCATGAAGCATCTAGAATAGGCAACTCACATAGAAAGCAGGTTAGACGCCAGGGGCTGTTAAATGGGCATAGTGTTGGGGATTGTACTGTGGCATGGTGGGTAAGGATGCTACCTGTGACACTCGCATCCCATATAGGCGCTAGTTTAAGTCCCGGCTGCTCCACATCCAGTCCAGCTCCCTGCTAATGACCTGGGAAAAGCAGCAGAAGATGGCCCAAGTGCCTGGGCCCCCACCACCTATGTGGGAGACCCAAATGAAGCTCCTGGCTCTTGGTTTTAGCCTGGCCTAGACCCAGCCATTGCAGCCACCTGGGGAGTGAACCAATGCATAGAAGGTCTCTCCCTCTCTCTAACATGGACTTTCAAAATAAACCTTTAAAAAAAAAAGGGGGTATAGCGGGGCTAGTGCTGTGGGGCAGCAGGTAAAGCTGCTGCCTGCAGTGCCAGCATCCCATGTGGGTGCCAGTTTGAGTCCTGGCTGCTCCACTTCCGATCCAGCTCTCTGCTATGGTCTGGGAAAGCAGTAGAAGATGGCGCAAGTCCTTGGGCTCTTGCACCTGTGTGGGAGACCCAGAGGACATTCCTGGCTCCATTGCACAGCTCTGGCCCTTGTGGGCATCTGGGGAGTGACCCAGCGGATGGAAGATCTCTCTCTCTCTCTCTCTGCCTCTCTGTAACTCTGCCTTTCAAATCAATCTTTAAAAAAAAATAAAGATAAGCATTTCTGTTTATGTTGATGAAAACTGGGGAAAAGAGAGGTATAACCACAGAAGCAATTAATGCTGAATTGTACACTTACAAGATCGTTAAAATAACAAATGCTACATATATAAACACAGTAAATTTTATGACATATATAACCACAATACATTATGATATATAAAACCACAATAAATTTTATGATATATACATACAAACAATAAAAAGTGTTTCAGAGAGAAACCGCAGAAAGACTGGGAAGAAGCAGAAATAAGCTAAGATGCAGAGCAGCTCGGTTGCAGAGATTTAAGGAAATTTGATTTTTTTTTTGCTTCTTCATACTTCTCCGGACTTTCTCATAGATTCTCCCCAGAGCAGGGGAGAGACTCTGGGAGGGAAGAAACTAAGGTAAAACAGGACCGATGAGGCAGCTGGGAAGGAGCCCGGGGGCGGGCGCCGGAGCTGCGGGAGGGGCGGCCTACCCGCGGCGGGGCCGCGCGGGCGGCGGGTGCGGGGTCCGCGTCCAGCTCCCGCGCCGCGCGGCTGTACTTGTCGGCCAGGTCTTGCAGCAGCGTGTTCTTCCGCAGCCGCGGCGGCTGCGCCGCGCCCTCGCGGCAGGTGGGGCAGGCCCAGCGGCGCCGCGCGTCGCGCGAGTCCCACAGGTGAGTGAGGCAGTGACGGCAAAAGCTGTGGCCGCAGGGCAGCGTCACGGGCCAGGACAGCAGCCCGTGACAGATGATGCAGCCCAGGTCGTCCTCGGTCAGCCACACGGGCACGGCCGGACTGCAGCCCGGGCCCGCCATGGCGGCGCGGAAGTAGCGGTGCCGTGCGGCGGGCGCGTGTCTCCGCGGGCTCCTCCCTCGCTCTTCCTCTTCCCCTGCTGGCCCCGTCGCTTGCGGCCACCGCTCCCCGGAGCTGCCTTCTGCTCTGGGCACAGCCGCCTGCTGGTGCGGCCTCCCGAAGCGTGTGCGAGCCCGCAGATGTCCCCCTGTTACGCGGCAGCCCCGGCGCCCGGGACCCGCACAGGGGTGCATGGGGCCAGCCTCCTGCTGTTGCACACGCTGCGGGGCAGCAGAAGATGGCTGGAGGACCCCGGTCCCTGCACCCTCCTGGGAGACCCGAATTGAGCTCCTTGGCTCCTGGCTTCAGCGTGGCCCCAGCCCTGGCTGTCGTGGGCATTTGGGGAGTGAACCGGAAGATGGAAGATCTCTCTTAGTCTCTCAAATAAAATGAAAATGAGTGTATTTTTAAAATTAATGCATCTTGGGCAACTCTTGGGAGGAAGAAGGATCCGATTTAGGAACTGAGCAAATGCGCCCACGAGGTGTCACCGCCGGCGCGCGCTCGCAGGATGAACTGCCGGCGCGGACCCCTCCCAGGGCTGCAGCCTACGCAGGGGTTTTGTTAAGGCCAACCCCTGTCATGGTAACATGCTAGAGCGCCTCTGAAATCGTTTTCATAACCCGCAACTGTGCCGCTGTGTCCTTACTGCGCTCTGCGGGCCAGAAGTGCCATAACCAACCGGACAAAAAACAGGGGTAGCGACCCTGGCCCGGCTCCCGTTCTGCTCGCCCGCCTCCTACTCCAGTCCTGAGCACTAGGCAACCAGAATTGTTAGCGCTGCACCAGGTCCTTCCCTACGAAGACCCAAAGCAGTGAAGGAACTTCCAGGCCGGCCTCGCCCTGCGGGAGTGGCACAGAGCAGAACCTGTAGCTGGTCAGTGGAAATGAAAGCGCCACGGCTTGTGCTGCTTCACCACATCTGGCCTGAACTCCACGCAGGACCCAGGTGTGACTAATATCCCAGCACTGTGAGTGACGTGTTTCACTTCGTCTGTGCAATATTTCCAACATTTTCCGGTGCTAGAGAAATAGTTTAATTGGAACTTCTCTGACCCATTTGAAACACAGAGAAGTAATACATGCAGCTTCCCAGCAGCTTTTTAAATTTGTGTATTTGAAAGGCAGAGTGACAGAGAGAGAGAGGGAGAGACAGAAAAATATCTTCCATCTGCTGGTTCACTCCCCAAATGGCCACAACATCCAGGGCTGCGCCAGGCTGAAGCCAGGAGCCAGGAACTCCTTCTGGATCTCCCATGGGGGCAGCAGGAGCCCAAGCATCTTAGACCATCTTCTGCTGCCTTCGCAAGAGCACCCACAGGAAGCTGGATCAGAAGTGGAGCAGCTGGGACTTGAACCTGCACTGGCATATGGAATGCCATTGACAAAGCAGCAGCTCAACCAGCTGCACCACAACACAGGCCCCTGGTTTGTCTTTTGTTGAACTGCAACTCTCAGTTGCAACTCTCATCACCCTGTATGTCTGGTAATACTGCTTGTCTTGAGAAATGCATAATCTGGGGTCAGCGATGTTGCCTAGCAGGTTAAGCCACCACCTGCGAGGCCTGTATCCTATTTCATCCGGGTTCGAATTCTGGCTGCTTCCTGTCCAACTCCCTGCTGATGCACCTGGGAAAGCAGTGGAATATGGCTCAAGTACTTGGGCCCCTGCACCCACGTGGGAGACTTAGATGAGCCTTCTTTCTCCTGGCTTAGGCCTGGCCCAGCCACGACCGTTGTGGCCATTTGGAAAGTGAACCAGGGCATAAAAGGCCCCTCTCTCTGCTTTCAAATAAATAAATCCTTAAAAAAAGAAAAATACATGAACTGATCTCAGTATAGCCTCGCCAGTCTTTTTAGAATTGCTGTACTCATGTACTAACTGCATGAATTTTCTGTCCTTTTACCTTCGACTTACTGATTGCACTAGATTTGTCTTGGAGACAATGTGTAATTGGGTCTCGCTTTCTTATCCACTCTGCCAATAGTGCACTTTGAGTATTTAATCCACCAACATTTAATGTAATTACTTACTGATGTGATTGGGTCTGGGTTTTGCTCTTTGTTTTCTGCTTCTCCCATTTATTCCTTATGCCTTCATCCTGCCTTTCCTAGGTTAATTTAATAATTTTTATAATTCTACTTCAGTTTCTTTGTTGGCTTTAAAATTTTATTTATTTTCATTTTATTTGAAAAGAAGAGAGACAGAAATCTTCCATCTGCTGGTTCACTTCTCAGATGCCTACAACAGCCAGGACTGGGTCAGGTTAAAGTCAGGAGCCGACGGGCCGGCGTCGTGGCTCACTTGGCTAATCCTCTGCCTGCGGCACCAGCATCCCAAATGGGTGCCAGGTTCTAGTCCTGGTTGCTCCTCTTCCAGTCCAGCTCTCTGCTGTGGCCCGGGAGGGCAGTGGAGGATGGCCCAAGTGCTTGGGCCCCTGCACCTGCATGGGAGACCAGGAGGAAGCACCTGGCTCCTGGCTTCGGATCAACACAGCGCCGGCCATAGCAGCCATTTGGGGGGTGAATCAATGGAAGGAAGACCTTTCTCTCTGTCTCTCTCTCTGTAACTCTGCCAAATAATAATAAAAAAAAAAAAGTCAGGAGCCTACTCCCACATGGGGTCTCCCACATGGGTAGCAAGGACCCAACAGCTTCAGCCATCACCCACTGCTTCCTGGGAGGCACTAGCAGGAAGCTGGATCTGAAGTGGAGAAACCAGGTCTCACCCCAGGTGCTGTGGTGGAAAATACTATGTCTCAGGCAGTGACTTCACTGCTACGCCAGATGCCTGCCCGTCTGTTGGCTTCTTAGCTACACCTCTTTGCATTCTGTGTTCCGTGGTTGCTTTAAGGATCATAATACATATCCTTGACTTTCTGGGAAGGAAGGAGAGCCTCCCCGTCTCCCTCGGTGCAGGTGAGCTCTGTTAGCACACAGGCAACACTCACCTCACTGCACAGCCCTGTGGAAGGCCTGCCTCCCCCAGCAGGGACAAGTGACCTTTAAAAAAGAACTATGGAGTTTAAGATGCTTATTTATCTATTTGAGAAACAGAGAGAGAGCAAGCAAGCACTCCAATCTGCTAGCTCACTCCTTAATGCCTGCAGCAGCCAGGATGGGGCCATTGCTGAAGCTGGGAGCAAGGAATTCCATCCAGATCTCTCACATGAGTGGCAGGGACCCAGTCCTGGGCCCTCAGTGCTGCCTCCCGGGGTCTGCATGAGCAGGAAGCTGGAGTCGGGCATCCAGCACTTGAACATGGAATGCAGGCGTCTTAACCACCGGGCCCAATGCCCATCCCAGCACCCATCATCTTGTACTTCCTGCTTGGCTCCGAGCCTGGCACCTGGAACATGGTCAGAAACACTTGTTACTTACACTGAATTTCACGACTGAGTGCAGTGTCCTCGTTTTAAAGAGACGTAGAGTGAATTTTTCTAATGGTGTCAAGTTAGTGGCAGGGCCAGACCCCGGCTGGCTGTCTCCACCGTGGAGAGCAGGTGCCCTCAGCATGTTCCTTTCCTTCCAGGGCACTGGGGCTGATCGATGCAGCTGTTGCTTTTTATATTATCCAGGCTTTTATTCCTTCTAACATTGCACAAAGATGGAATTCTCAAGGCAAAGCTTTGACTCATACAGAAAACTCACTACTTTTGAAGAGTGAAAAGTGGATGTTTTAAAAATTTCCCCCAACTTTTTAGTTTGAAAATCTTGAAATCAACATAAAATTTACATGAATAGGACACTAAATACCCATCTGTACTCTATCTGGATTCATCAGTTGCAAACATTTTGCACAAGGGCACTCCTCACACTTTTTTTTTTTTTAATATTTATTTATTTGATGGCCAGTGCCGCAGCTCACTAGGCTACTCTTCCACTTGCGGCACTCCGGGTTCTGGTCCCGGTTAGGGCGCCAGTTCTGTCCTGGTTGTTCCTCTTCTAGTCCAGCTCTCTGCTGTGGCCCGGGAGTGCAGTGGAGGATGGCCCAAGTGCTTGGGCCCTGCACCCGCATGGGAGACCAGGAGGGAGCACCTGGCTCCTGGCTTCGAATCGGTGCAGTGTGCCAGCCATGGCAGCCATTTGGAGGGTGAACCAACGGAAGGAAGACCTTTCTTTTTGTCTCTCTCTCTCTCACTGTCTAACTCTGTCTTTCCAAAAAAAAAAAAAAAAAAAGTATTTATTTGAAAGGCAGAGTTAGAGAGATATTCCTGCCACTGGTTCACTCATAATATGGCTACAATGGGCAAGGCTGAAGCCAGGAGCCAGGAGCTTCGTGCAGGTCTCCCTCATGGGTGCAGGGGCCCAAGCACTTGCTTCATCCTCCGCTGCTTTCCCAGACGCATTAGCAGGGAGCTGGCTCAGAAGTGGAGCAGCCAGGACTGGATCCAGCTCTCCTATGTGGCCTAACCCTGCCCCCAGCACTGGCCCCTCCCCCACATATTTACATACTCTGTACAAGTATGTGTACACATACACTGATTTTCTTGCTGAGCCATTTAAGAAATCAGTTGTAGACATGACATTTGATCCTTAAATACTTCAGCATGTGTCTCCTAAGAACAAGAGCATTCTACAAAAACAGGGCATAGTTATCAGTCTTACAGCACTATTAGCCAATATACATTCATATTTCCAGACTCCGATTTCTCCAGTTCTGCCCTTGCCAGATCCAGGGTCCAATCAAGAGTCGACTTGGTCTCCGAGTCTTCGTCTCCTTGAACCTCGGGCAGTTCCCAGACTACTTCCCCTTTCACGACACTGATGGTTCGGCGAGTCCAAGCCAGTTGTTCAGCACAAGGTCTCCAATGCGCACTTGCCTGGTGAGGTCCTCACGTTTAGATCCAGACTAAACTTTCTGGGTGTGGGCCAGATGCCACCTGCACGAGGCATCACGTGGTGTGAGGAAGTCCTGGCCCGCGTGGCCATTTCAAGCCTGGGTGTACGCAGGACGCGGGAGGCACACGTGTTCATCTGTGTGCCAGAGCCCCAGGTCCCCGAGGCTGGCCAGCGGCGGAGGCTGCTGACTGTGAGGCACTTCCTCTGGGCGGCCAGGCCCAAGGTGCACACTTCTTCCCATCAGGAGCTCCAGGTGTTCAGTGGGCAGCCAGCTCCTGGGAGACCAGTCACCTGCTGCTCTGGCCACTCCCTGTTGATGCAGCTACAAGTGAAGAGAAGGGGGGCTGAGGGAGGTGGTGGTGCTGGTGCAGGCCTGCTGGAGGGAAGAGACAGCAAGGAGACAGGCTGACAGTGACAGAAGGCGCCAGAGTGAAAAACAGACCAAAAACGTAAGGACAGACAGCAGAGGACAGACAGCAGAGGAGGAGAGAAAAACAGACACAGACAGAAACTCAGACACATAAGCCCACAGAGGAAGAAAAAGCACCAGGGGCCGGGGTTGTGGTGCAGGGGTTAAGATGCCAGCATCCCATATTGAAATGCTGGCTGAAGTCCTGGCTGCTCCATTTCTGATCCAGCTCCCTGCTAATGTGCCTGGGAAAACAGCAGAAGCTGGCCCAAGTGCTTGGACCCCTACTACCCACATGGGAGACCCAGATGGAGTTCCTGAATCCTGGCATCCACCTGGCCCAGCTCCAGCCATTTGGGAAGTGAACCAGCAGATGGAAGATCTCCCTCTCTCTCTCTCTGCCTTTCAAATAAAATAAATAGTTTTAAAAAATTAAAATGTTAAAAGAAAGGTGACATGCTTTGCTAGCAGTTTCTAAAACTTTTTGAGGCGCTGTGGCTTTGGCTCTGGGACAGTGGGTGGACTCCAGCCCCCAGGGGACCGCGCGGTGTCACCTGCTCAGTCTGTACTTTTCCAAACACAAAACATCTCCGTGGTGCCCCTGAAGTCAGGCCCTGGGCGGGAAGTTTCCTGCTGCAGTTCGGCACACCCCTCTCTTTCCACAGGGCTGGGGGCACACAGGGAAGCCCCCTGGTGACCTGTGGTGAGGAGGAGCAGAAGAGAGGACAGGGCTAAGACACCAGAAATAGCCTGCCCTGGGCAGTGGGGAAGAATTCAGACCCCCAGGAGCTGCCCAGCAGGGGTGGCCGTGCCAGGGGGTGGGAGCAGGACACTGCTCAGCCCCAGGAGATGCCAGCCCCCCTGCTAGAAGCTTACCGAGAAGGGCTCCACTGGAGGATCTTACTGCACACCGGGACTCCCAGGAACGCCCACGCTCTGTGCTCTTTGGCAGGAAGAGGTGACAGCGCATGGTCCGGGCTCTCCTGTGGCACTGCTGTGAGGCAGCCCCTCTGCCCTCAGCCAAAAAAACTCCAGCCCCCGATTCTTTTTTCTTTTTCTTTTTCTTTTTTCTTTTCTTTTTTTTTTTTTTTTTTTTTGATAGACAGAGTGGACAGAGAGAGAGAGACAGAGAGAAAGGTCTTCCTTTTGCCGTTGGTTCACCTTCCAATGGCCACTGAGGCCAGCATGCTGTGGCCAGTGTACCGTGCTGATCCAAAGCCAGGAGCCAGGTGCTTCTTCTGGTCTCCCATGGGGTGCAGGACCCAAGCACTTGGGCCATCCTCCACTGCACTCCCTGGCCACAGCAGAGAGCTGGCCTGGAAGAGGGGCAACTGGGAAAGAATCTGGCGTCCCGACTGGGACTAGAACCGGTATGCCGGCGCCGCTAGGCGGAGGATTAGCCTGGTGAGCCGCGGCGCTGGCCCTGATCCTTTTTTTAAATAAAATTCTTAAAGACTTATTTATTTGAAAGGCAGAGTTATAGAGACACAGAGGGAGAGAGGAAAAAAGATGGAGAGAAGAAGAGGAGAAGGACAGAGAGAGGTCTTCCATCCGCTGGTTCACTCCTCAAATGGCCACAACAGCCAGTGTTGGGCCAGGCTGAAGCCAGGAGCCAGGAGTTTCATCCTGGTCTCCCAAGTGGGTGGCAGGGGCCCAAGCATTTGGACCATCTTCCACTGCGTTTCCAGGTGCATCAGCAGGGAGCTGGATAGGAAGTGGAACAGGAGGGACTCAAACTGGTGCCTGTGTGGGATACTGGCATTACAGGCCATGGCTTAACCTGCTGTGCCACAATACAGGCCTCCGGGATTGTTTTTAAAGGCAGGATGAAAGAGAGAGAGAGAGAGAGAGACTGGGATTCCTTTTGCTGAATGCCCTCAAGGCAAGAGGAGAGAGGGGAACCCGTGCAGGTCTCCCATGAGGGTGGCAGAGACTCAACTATTTGAGGCATCAGCTGCTGCCCCAGGCCTGCGCTGGTGGGAAGCTGGGATCAGGAGCCAGGAATGGAACTCAGGATGAATGTGTGATGGGGGCAGGTACCCAAACTGCTGGGCCAAACCCCGCTAACCCCCAGGCCCCGAGGCTCACCGAGGAGGAGGGGCGTCAGGGGCCGGGCCAGGACCTCCCGCAGACTCTCCAGCCACTCGCGCTGCTCCTTCTCCGTGGGGCAGGTGAGGATGAATCTCCGCTCTGGGGTGACCACGGTGAGGCCAGCCTTCCAGCGGCTCCCCCGGACGCCCTTGGGCAGGTCTTCACAGACTTCGTACCCGTGCTCCTTGCTCCCGAGGAAGACCTGGCCCTGCTCAAAGGCGTCCTACAATCCGGGCCCGGCGTCCTCAGAGGCTGTCCCTGGGGCAGCGGGACCCACTCCCTGCAGCCCTCACGGCCCCGCAGGCTCTATCTGGGGAAAGGGCGTGGGTGTCCGCACCGAGATCTCTGCTAGGTGGGAGTTTGAAAGGTGAAATCCCCGACCTGCATCACTCAGCGTGCGTTCTGTTCCCTCGTGGAGAAGCCACCAGGCTAGGTACTTCAGTGCACACTGTCGTGGGACCGCCTCCAAGGAGAGCGTTCTTACTTAGCCCATTTTTCAGAGCAGACTAAGGCACACAGAGCCCAGTGCTCTGCCCAGGGTGCAGCCCTGCCAGGGGCGTGGCGGTGCCAGGAGCCCACGCTCCCCCCACTCCCAGCCACTCCATGCCGTGGGCCCCTGGAGACTGGAGGAGGCAGGCACCGGATGTGACCTCAGTGGGCGGCACTGGGCACTCTTGTGAAGCACTTCCTGAAGGTGAGGGCAGGGGAGGCCTCAGGCCCAGGAGATGCCGCCCCACCCCCACCCCCCAGCCCTGGGTGGGGGTCTCCTGGGGAGGGACCACAGCAGCGCTTACCAGTGGGTTCTTGTAATAGAGCAGCCTCCGCTCCTGGGGATCCAGGGCGAACCACCTTTTCTTGAAAGGTTCTCTGTGCTGCAAAAGAGGAAGTCCCTTACCAGGGATGGTGGGCCCCAAGCACTTCCTGAGGTCAGAGGTCAGAGGCCAGCCCAGAGACAGCCATGCAGCCCGGCCTCAGGCCTCCACTCCACGGGCAAGCACCCTGGAAGTCAGATACCCTAACGCTTCCTCCTGGGGTCCCTCAGACCCCCTCCCCAAACCTCCCACCTTCCAGCCCAGCCCCCCCCCGCCGCCAGCTTCTCCCTGCTGCCCGTAGGTGCTGCTTGGGTTAACCCAGGCGCTTCCCTCTTTCTCAGGCTGTGGACAAGGGAGCCTCAAGAAGAGGAAGCTGGGAAATCAGAAGTGGCAGCTGCTCAGGGAGGCTGAGAGTGCTGGCCTGGGCCAGATCCTACCGGAGGTCAGTGGAGCCCTGGGGCGAGGAACACAGGAGGGCTGGGCCCCGGGACTGCTAGATCTGCCTGCCCTGCCCCCTGGCATGCAGACACCACCCCCCCCCACCTGCACCGCTCACTGTCCTCTTAACAAGCATCCTGCGACCAGGCTAAATCTTTCCGAAAGCAAGCCCCAGAATGCTGCCGTGTGGGGCTCAGTTTTTAGGGAGCTCCTTCCACTCCTCCCCTTCTCTTCCTCCTGCTCCCTTCCCCTCCCTCATGACCACTTGCTGGCCCTGGCCTCCACCTTCACTCAGGCTCCACCTCTCTGGATGTTCCTCCCCAAAGCAGCCAGGCCTCGCCATCCTCCAGGGATAAGAGGGGGTGAGCAGCCACTGGGGTGCATGCTGGGGGAGGGGCATGCCTATGGGGTCCCACTGGTGCATGAGCCTTGGTGCACAAGTGTGTCTGTTAAGCCCTGGGAAGCCCCTGCCCTGCTTTCACAGGCATGGGGCACTTGAGGGGAGTTGAGAGAAGCCGAAGGTGATGAGGCTAAGAGGGGGCTGCCATGAGAGGGAGAGGCCACACCATGCCCACGCCCACGCTGGGCCACAGACCAGCTGACATCTCCTTTGCCACTTGGGCCTTCAGCCCAGGGACGCACGGGTCTCACTTTACTTCCCTTCCCCTCATTCACCCATTCCCTCCCCCTCCCACCCTCCACCCCCAGTTCGGCACCTGCTGCCTCCCTGGACAGGGCCCGGTGAGTCCCCACGGGGACCTACCTTTGGACCCGTCTTCTCCATGAAGCCTTGTTTGAGGTAATTCCTCGTGAGGAGGGGCAGGAGCTGAGGGGAGAGAGACAGAAGCTGGCCCCCTACATATCACCCGAGGGGTGGGGTGGGGGGCTGGAGGTTCCCCACTGAGCTTGGCTCCCCATCAGAGGGGAAGTTGGGAATGGGGAAGGATGTGCGGTGGCGGGGGCCATGGGGTTATATTTAGAATGTGCCCTGGATGTAATCTTCATATTTCAATAAAGCCAGTCCACAGCACCCGCGCCGTGCTCAGAGCGTGCAGGACATGGCTGAGCCACCGCTCTTGGAGTCAGGGAGCTTATCTGGAGGGCCCGGTGAGACACAGTTCTCAGCCTCCAAGGAGGGTGGGTCTCACCAGCCTCGCTGCACCCCTGATGAATCCAGGGCGCAGACATGTGCTCAGGAATTCTCTCCAAGTCCCAGAGCTGGAGGCCTGGGGAGCTGGGATTCACAGCCGGGGCTGACGGACACTGAGCCGTGGCCCCAGCACTGCTGCACTGTGACGCTAACATGTGAGCAGGCCAGAGCCTCCTGGCCCTGAGCAGGTCATTGCTGGGGATCCTGGCCCAGGGCCTCCAGGAGGTGGTGGCAGGTTGGGCAGAGCAAGCCCTGGACTAGGCGTCTGGAGGCCTCTGCCAGCTGTGCCACCCTGGTGAGTCCTCTGTCTCTCAGGGCCTGGTTCCCCGGTGTGGAGGAGACTGGATCGTGGGCTCTGGCGGATCCACCTCCAGCCGGCGTCCTGTGCACACAGAGGCGTGCAGGGATACTGGTCTCCTGTGCTCCAGGGGCCAACCTGACAAGTCCAGAACTTCAGACAACAAGGCAGGCTTCCAGGAAGGGGGACGCTGCCCCAGAGCTCAGGGGCCCAGGGCAGGGGCTGGGGAACCACAGTGGAGAGTGAAAGGGGGAACCATAGGAGCTAAACATGAAAACCCCAAGGTGAACATTGGGCCGAGGAGTAAAGGCATCAGTTGGGACACTCGCATCCCTTGTGGGAGTGCTGGGGTTCACGTCTTGGCCTTGCTCTCTATTCCAGAGCTTCTTGTCAATGCACACCCTGGGAGGCGGCAAGTGATGGTTCAAGTACTTGGGTCCCTGCCACCCATGTAGAAGACCTGGACTGTGCTCCTGACTCCGGACTCCAGCCTGGCCCAGCCCTGGCCATTGTTTGCATTCTGAGGGTGAACCAGAGGAGGATGGGAGCTCTCCCTCTCTTGCTCTCTCTCACTCTGCACCCCCTCAATAAGCAAATTTAAAATTAAGTGATTGATTTTAATTTCATTAAAAAACTTAAAATGTAAACTATGCCACTGCCCTCTCTCATCTGCAGTAGGCTTTAATTCCTGCACTGGGAGAAAGCCAAGTCCCTAACTGCTCAGGATTCTGAACAACAGCCAGCACTGCCAGTGTGGAAACCCCGGGCAGCAGGAGGGAAGTGCTTGGGTCCCGGCTTCCTCCCCTCTCACAATAGCCGTGCTGTGGGTGTCCTCCACCTAGAGACAGGCAGGTGCCCTGAGGTGACACGCATTTCTGATCACAGGGCCACCGCCCCACTGGACTTCGAGGTTTGGGGTGTCTGGATCCTTAAGCTTGCACCAGCCTGGATCACTGCCCCAAACCTCCCGCCGTGCACAGGTGCAGGCTGGGAGGAGGCTGGGGATGGGCAAGGGGGAGTGACAATGGCTCAGGAGTCACGGGAACTCTGGGTCACTGCTGGCCACACCGGCCAGCCAAGATGGGAAGCTTGAGCAGATGAAGTAAGGCTGAGCCTCTGTCCTTTGCCCTTCCTCTCTGGTCAGCAGTCAGCAGTCAGCAGTCCTAATGCCCTGGCCTTGACCAGTTCTGGCCGCTGACTCAGCACACCCACAACCAGGCCATGCTGGGACTGTACCCAGGGAGGTGCTGTCTCAGCGCTGTATCCCAGACACTCAGCTCCCTGCAGACCCTGGAATTAAGGAGCATTTAGGCTTTCAAGGAGGGTCAAAGGATTGGAAACAAGAAAATCCCAGGTGGGGCCGGTGCCATGGCGCAGTAGGTTGATCTTCCACCTGCAGTGCCGACATCCCATTTGGACATTGGTTTTAGTCCCAGCTGCTCCACTTCTGATCCAGCTCTCTGCTACAGCCTGGGAAAGCAGTAGAAGATGGTCCAAGTCCTTGGACCCCTGCACTGGCATGGGAGACTGAGAAGAAGCTCCTGGCTCCCGGTGCAGCTCTGGCTATTGCGGCCATCTGGGGGCATGAACCAACGGAAGGAAAACTTTTCTCTCTGTCTCTCCCTCTCACTGTCTGTAACTCTACCTCTCAAATAAATAAAAAAATCTAAAAAAAAAAAAAAAAAGAACGAAAGAAAAGAAAATCCCAGGATGAGTATGGTCTTTCCATGCCTATCACTTACAAAATCTTCTTAGAGAGGAACTGAAAAACAGAGAACAGACCACAGTCTCTCAGCTGGAAGGAACTGTGAAGATGTCTGGCCAGCTGCCATCTGACCAACACAGAAACTGCACTTCTCAGAGAGGTTCCACGACCTGGAGGGTCACACAGCAAGTTAGCGACAGAGCTTCCACGAGGACCCAGGTCTCCTGGCTCAAGGCAGCACCTTCTGCCCCACACCTTGTGGGCATGCTCCCCCTCCATGCCTGGGGGAGGCAGATGGGAGTTCTCAGGCCCACCATGACCTTGGCCACGGAAGGCTGAGCTGCTCCTGTGACAATGACAGTGGGGAAGATCTCAGGCCCTTCCTGAGAGCAGAACTCCGCAGGGGGAGGGGAGAAGCTAGGCAGGGACGAGCCCCTGGGTGATTCACTTCTTGCGGGACTTTTCAGTAGGAGTGACTGCCTCTGCTACTGTAATGGGGTGACCAGGCCACAAGCGGCTGTTAGGGATCGTTTGCACTTTTCAGCGGCAGAAGGGGTCAGAAAGAGATGCCGCCACCCTGAGTTCTTTCGTCGCTATGGAGTGGCCTTGCGTCCTGAAGGGGAGAAACAGGCCTGCTTTTTGGAGACCACCTTGCCAGGTGGGGCCGTGAGCCCCCTGCCTCCCTCTGAGGTGCCCAGCCCTCAGGTCTCGGGGCCCTGCCTGCACACAGCCCTGGCCTGACCTCTGAGTGTCTGCGGGTTCAGCAGACAGGTGAGGAGGAGGTGGCGGAGGGGACGCTCAGAAGCTGGGGCCGTGTCCCGCTTACCTCCGACTCCGGGAGCTCAGGGAAGGCCGTTTGCAGGTACTGCAGCCGGGCTGCACGGAGGGCGTTGAACCAGTCCACTATCTCCTGCCGAGAGAAACGCAGAGACCGTGTGGGCAGCCGGGGGCGTGGTGGCAGCAGCTGGCAGCCTCAGGGTTGGGGCATGTGCACACATGTCTACTCAGGGGCACCTGGGGAGGATGCCATCAGAGCTGTATCGTCCAAACTGAGCAGGTAGGCAGCCAGGTCCAGGGCGCACCCCCAGGCTGGGGGAAGGGCGCTGCAGGGAGCTATACAATGGCCTGGGACAGTATTTTTCACGTTGTTGGCTTGTTTATTTGAAAGGCAGAGAGAGAGAGCTCTCATCTGCTGAGCTAGGCCAAAGCCTCGAACTAGAACTCAGTCCAGGTCTCCCATGTGGGTGACAGGGACCCAACAGCCTGGACCGTCACTGCTGCTTCCCAAGGTGTGCATCAGAAGGAAGTTGGAATCGGAAGTGGAGCTGGACTTGAACTCAGGCACACCAGTGTGGGATGTTGCCAGCCCAACTGGTGTCTTAACTGCTAGACCAAATGCCCGTCCTTTCACTTTCCAATGTGTGTAAGACTCACTTGGATGCAGGGACAAGCGTTTGGTGCAGTGGGTAAGACGCTGCTTGGGATACTCACATTTCCTATCAGAGTGCCTAGGTTCGAGTCCCGGCTCTGCTTCCGATGGCAGCTTCCTGCCAGTGTGCACTCCGGGATCAAATGCTGGAGTCCTTGCCACCCGCATTCTAGACTTCTAGCTTGGCCTGACCCAGTCCTGGCTGTTGTGGGCATTTGGGGAATGAATCGGCAGAAGGGAGCTCTCTGTTTCTCTTTCTGCCCTTCAGATAAATCAATTTAAAATCCAGCAGGGAGCTGGATTAGAAATGGAACAGCCAGAGCCCATAGGGGATGCTGGCATTGCAGGCAGTGCTTAACCTGTTAAGCCACTAAAAAAATTTTTTTAATGCAGATTCAGATCAAATAGGCCTGGGACAGGGGACAGGGCTCACGAGAGTCATTCCCTAACACACTCCCAGGTGCCAGGACACTGCTGCTCAGTTGATACAGTGAGAAGGAAGGAGCTAGGAAAGACGTCCTCAGCTGTCCAAGCCTGGCCTCTCCGGGGCGAGGGCGCGGACTGGGGCCACAGCTGGCTTGGCGCATTCTGCTGTCGCTCTGGGAGGACACATGCCATGGGGAACCACTGCCTTGCTGATGTGGGATGCAGGTGTGTGTCCTGAGCGGCGGCCTGACCCGCTGTGCCACGATGCCCCTTAGACTCCTCTGAGCCCGCCAAGCCAGAGTTGGGATTGGAAAGTCACTCTGTCTGCCCAAGAGATCTCTCTTTCTCTGTTGCTCCCTCTCTTTGTAACTCTGCCTTTCAAATAAATAAATACATCTTTTAAAAAAAGAAGCAGAGGGGCCGGCATTGTGGCATGCCATAGTGGGTTAAGCTGCCTCCTGCAATGCCAGCATCCCATATGGGCGCTGGTTCGAGTCCCAGCTGCTCCACTTCAGATCCAGCTCCCTGCTGATGTGCCTGGGAAGCAGTGGAAGATGGCCCAAGTGCTTGCATCCCTGCACCCATGTGGGAGACCCAGAAGAAGCTGGCTTCAATGTGGCCCAGCCCGGGCCATTGTGGCCATCTGGGGAGTGAACTGGCAGATAGAAGATTCTCTCTCTCTCTCTCTCTCTTTCCCTCTCTCCCTCTCTCTCCTTCCTGCTCTCTCTGTAACTGTGTCTTTCAAATAAATAGTAAAAAGAAATCTTAAAAAAAAAAAAAAAAAAAAAAAAGCAGAGCAGCTAGGACGTGAAAATTCCAGCATTACAAACAGCAGCTTAATGGCTGTGCCACAGCACCGGCACCGTGTCCGCTTCACTTTTTTTTTTTTTTTTTTTTTTTTTTTTTGACAGAGTGGACAGTGAGAGAGAGAGACAGAGAGAGAAATGTCTTCCTTTGCCATTGGTTCACCCTTCAATGGCCGCTGCGGCTGGCGCGCTGCAGCTGGCGCGCTGCGGCCAGCGCACCGCGCTAATCCGATGGCAGGAACCAGGTACTTATCCTGGTCTCCCATGGGGTGCAGGGCCCAAGCACCTGGGCCATCCTCCACTGTACTCCCTGGTCACAGCAGAGAGCTGGCCTGGAAGAGGGGCAACCCGGACAGAATCCGGTGCCCCGACCAGGACTAGAACCCGGTGTGCCGGCGCCGCAGGCGGAGAATTAGCCTAGTGAGCTGCGGTGCCGGCCTCCGCTTCACTTTTAAATCACCATCTGGCTCCTGCAGGCAAGGATTATAATCCCCATTTATGCCCTCCTGACAGAGAGACTGGGCACAAAGTGAAATAGAATGAGCAGCCCCACGTTGTCAGATGCACCACAGCTGGGAGAAAGGGAGGGAGCCAGGTGGCCTGAGGGCAGAGTCCTCGTGGCTGTGAGTGGTATGGAAGAGTAGCCGCCGATGTCCTGCTGGTTTGGCCACCAGGGACCACTTCCATGTCTCCCAGACCGCACAAGTCCTAAGATTCTGGTGAAATGATGAGAGGGAGTGGAGAAGCTCACTCACGCTGGATTCCCTGCCAATCATGGTCAGAGTCCTTTAGTTTACAGAAACAAAGACCCCTGGAGGTACAGAAACCGTGGACCTGCTGTAGAGAAAGCGTGCACTTGCTCATTCCCTACTTATCCTCCTCTCTCTGAGTTCCTGATTCTAACCTCGCAGGAGCCCAGCCACGCCTCTTTTCAGCGCATTCTCAAGCAGAAACCCCCTCCTCCAGAGAGGCTTTGTGAGCCCGCCCCTCCTCCATCAGGATGCACATCATCTGTGCATCCCCAGCCTGACCCCACCCCATCACACAGCCTGTGAGTACCTGGCTCCCTCTCTCCTCCCTGGACTGTGGGTCCCTTGAGGCCCACGGCTCCACCCTACTCACTCCCCGGCACCCTAGCCCCTGGCCCAGTGCTTTGTATCCTGCGGGGCTCAGCAAGGGCTTGTGGGAAGAGAGGATGAGGTGTGAAGGTGGCTACAAGGCTTTGCCCTTTCCACCTGCTACAGTCAGCAGCTCATAACACCTACAGCAACTGAAGTTTGTGGTTCACGGCCACTCCAACCCCTTCTCGGAGGTGGGTGTTGGAATCCACAGACACATGCAGGAGGGAAGGGACTTGCTGAGAGCACCAGAGCCAGGGCTCCCATCTCTGACTCCAAAGCCTGGCTCTCCAGACCAGACCATGGAGAAAGCATGAAGCCTGCTGGGA